ATAAACAATCAAACTTTACACCAACCTCAAGGAGAAAAACAAGCTAAGCCTAAAGTTGGCGGATGGAAATAGTGAAGATGAGAAAAGAAATAAGACAATTGAAAACATAAAAATGAAACTAAGATTTTTAAAGATAGAACAGTCAAGTCTTTAAATTGATAAAATAAAAAATGAAGGGCAAATAAAATCATCTATGTAATGAGACATTGCTACTGATAAAGCAGAAATATAGAACATAAGAGCATATCTTATGAATAATTATATGACAACAAATTTGATGAGTTAGAAAAACAGGATACATTCCTAGTCACATACAACCTACTAAGACTGAAACATGAAAAAAGGAAAATTTGAACAGACCAATAATGAGTAAAGAGATTGAAGCAGTAATTAAAAATCTCCCAATTAAAATGCAATAAACTAAATATTCAATGTGGAAAATAAAAATTGGACTGCTGCTTTTATATTTGAAAACAAAACAAATAGAAGCTGCTAGAATATTCATCATCATAATTGAATTGTTATGCTATTATTAAACAAAATAGGAAAAATAAATTAGGAAAACAATTCAATTGAATATAGTTTCAGAAAGTATAACACACTTAGGAATAAATTTAAGAACTCCAAGTTTCATCTATTGAAAAAGTTGATAAAATTTTTTAAAGAAATTAAAAATCTAGAAAGCAGAAAGACATACACATTTATAGAAGACATAATATCATTATTAAAATTGATACATGCTTCAACATAAATGAACCTCAAAAATATTATACTAATTGAAAGAAACCAGTGACAAGAGTGCACTTGGTGTATGATTCCCTTTGTATTAAATATACAGAATAAATACACAGAGACAAAATGTAGATTAGTGGTTACTTGGCATTGGGATGGTGGATATGGTGTGCTAATGGGTATGAAGTTCATTTTTGAAGTGATGAAATGTTCTAAAATTAGACTCTGGTACTGCTTGAACTCTGTAAACATTAAAAATGACTGAATTATATACATTTAATGTATAAATTTTATATTATGTGAATTGCATCTTAATAAAATTGTTTAAAAATGGTCCCTGCTGACTCTACCTACTCAACACAGATTATCATTACTTTTTTAAAAACTTGAATAATTTCCAAAGAATTATTTTGACCATATTATTCATTCTTAATGGTCCTCATTTTCCTCACGTAAAAATATAATTTGTGTTAGTATAGGATGCTATGTTCAAAGTTTCTACAGCTACTAAATTTTCATATTTATTTTAAAAAGCATCAAAGCATGCAAGTTCTGAAGAAAATGAGACATAACTACCAAAACACTTTTACTGTACTAATGGGTATATAGTACATTTGTAAAGTGCTTTTTAAAAGAAGACAAAAGTGTTCTACTTATATTGTCTCTTATGACCTTACCAGGGATGGGAATGCAGCTACTTATCAAACTAAAGTAATAGTGAAAATCAATCCCATATTTGTACCACCTGTCTTCTAGGATGCTTCAATATCTTCAGATAGATGGTTATTAATAAATTTTATTCATAACATGACTCATGAGAAACAGGTGGTCTGACATAGAGGTAACATAAAAAGTGAATGGCACTTTGGAGATTAATATGATTGCATTCTGGCTCCATCAGTGAGGTTAGCCTGGAGAGCTTCTGAAATGGAACAGATCCATGGTATCCTGGTTGTCACCTCCTACCAGTTTGTTTAATACCTTAATACCACTGAAATCCTTAAGATGCTATTCCCAAGAGTCCTCACAACTGACCTGATTTCAACTTGTTAGTATACTCTACAATTTCCTTCAATTGTATTCTTTCTCTTAGATAGCTTCTGACCAAACTATTCTCCAGAAATAGAATCTTGGCTTGAAGATTGCCAGTTCATCAAAGGGCAGAGGTAGATATTTCTGTTATATAGTCCCAGCATCAGAATCTCAAGAAAACTGCTTGTTTGCTTATAGCTTCACAGCTAGATAATTTCCCAAGATGAGCATAGGATTTATTTTATCCCGGTGCAAGTGTTGGTAACTCACCTTCATCAGAACATGGAAGGATAATCTTTTTTTTTAATTAATTTTTTATTTATATGTCACAGTGGAATGCATTACAATTCTTATTACACATTTAGAGCACAATTTTCCATCTCTAGTTGCATACAAGTATATTCACACCAATTCATGTCTTCATACATGTACTTTGAATAATAATGTCCATCACATTCCACCATCATATCTAACTCCATGCCCCTCCCCTACTCTCCCACACCTCTGCCCTATCTAGAGTTTGTCTATTGCTCCCATGCTCTCTCTCCCTACCCCTCTAGGAGTCAGACTCCTTATAKCAGAGAAAACATTTGGCATTTGTTTTTTTGGGATTGGCTAACTTCACTTAGCATTATCTTCTCTAACTCCATCCATTTACCTGCAAATACCATGATTTTATTCTCTCTTATTGCTGAATAATATTACATTGTGTACATATGCCATATTTTTCCCCATTCATGTACTGAAGAGCATCTAGATTGGTTACACAGTTTAGCTATTGTGAATTGTGCTGCTATAAACATGGATGTGGCTGTGTCCCTGTAGTATGCTGTTTTTAAGTCCTTCCGGTACAGACAGAGGAGAGTGATAGCTGTGTCAAATGGTGGTTCCATTCTCAATGTTCCAAGAAAAGAAATCACCATACTGCTTTCCATATTGGCTGCACCAATTTGCAGTCCCATCAGCAGTGTATGAGTGTACCTTTTTTCCCCACATTCTTGGAAGGATAATCTTCACGTACTCTACTTCATCTGGCTGCCTTGGATTCCCCAAATCTCAACTAAGTGAAAGGTAGGGCAAAGTGATCTACCAAGTGTTCTCTGCAAACACCCCACCATACTCTCTCAGATAAAGTTGGCTTGAGGAGGTCAAAAATAACATAAATAAGAATATTGCCTTTTAATAGCTATGATGAGGGTGGTATCTAACCTCCAAGTGATCTCTCAGCAAGTACTAAATGCTATTTCCTACTCAATTACCCTGTGATAATTGTGGGCCTTGCAATATTTTACTTGAAGTGGAATGTAAAGACTATTAGAATTTCATTAACTTTCAAATTGTGAATTCATATGCATAAGAAAGTTTTTGTGTCAGGGAATATACAAAGAGCCTTACACAGATTGTATCATTTCATGTTACAGGTTTTCTATGAAGTAGTCATTATGAAACCCCTTGACCAAATGACAAAACTATAATATAGAGAGCTTAAGTTATTTGCATGAGGTCACACTTATAAAAAGTGGCAGAGCCTGTGTATGAATCCAGGTTTGTTCAGGCTCTAAGTACATGCTCTAAATAGTTATTCCAGAGTGTCTTTCTTTTAAGGAGATTATTATTCAAAAAGCAATCTCTAAATGTTTTTGCACTTAAATTATTCTTTCATAAAAAATTTGATTCCCTAAAAGTTCTGTCAGAAAACAATACAGACTATAAAAATCTAAAACCAGAGATTAAATTATTTGTAAAGGAGTTGTAAGTCTATGAAAAAATTAAACATTAAACTCTGCTTTCTCAGGCCTTCCAGTAATTCAAATAGATTTGAAATAATTATACTGTATGGCAAAGGAGAAACAATAAAATATGAATAATACACTTTTGAGTTTTACTCCTGATTCTTCATTTCCTAGCTGTGTATTCCTTGGAAAGAAGTTGAAATATGGGAAAAGTGCCTATCTGTCCAGATAATTGTGAAGATTAAACCAGATGGGGTATATGAAGTGATAGTGGTGTCTGGAACTTGGTAGGCCCTTAACAAATGGTAAATATTATTTCATTACTATTATTACAAACAACAGTAAGTGGACAAAGAAATAAAAAAGAGTAGGTTAATGAAAGGGAGGATTTTAGTTGGGGAGGATATTAAAGGTATGATTTAATGTTACTTTAAGTATGCTTTAATAAAGAGCAAGCAGAACAAAGAGTTCTCAATAAGAAATTCTCAATAAAAATGACTAGTAATCATGATAATCAAATCCCACTTTTGTTAAGGCCAGGTGCCTAAAAGTTGCTTCCTATAATATTATTGCTTTTCGTTGAGGTATGATGATATAAGATGGAGGGAATTAAGACAGTTCTTTAAATTACTTGACAATAGCCTGGAAGCCCCTTAAATCTTGATAAACCTTAAGTATTGTGGTAGAACAGGTAGGAAGGTCTAGTCAATAGCAAGGAAAATGACAAACATCTATGGCCTATTATTCATATCCTTGAAAGCATATTTTGATCTGTGACTTTAAGAGATGTTCTGATGTAGATTTTTACTTCACTGCTAAAAAGATTATCTAAACCCTACTAAAACAATTTTACATGTGAAACTGTTAAGAAGTAACATGTATTTCATCTACAGGTCAGAAATGGCTTTAATTCTTACTCTTGCAATTTCCCTATAAACATTCTATAAATCTCTGATTGATGTTCCATTCAACATTTTAATAAAGTGTTTGCTTTCAAAAAAATGGTAGTCTGAGATACCTCAGGCTTTGACTTTGTCATTAGCACCTAGGTAAAAAAATGACTTGCCTGACTATGTACCCAAGGAAGGCACCAGTCATCCAATGTCATGTCCCCAAATTGCAAGTAAAAATCATTATAAGAATAATCTATATTCAAGAGGATAAGCCTAGCCAATTTAATCCTATTTTAGATATGGAAAATGCCATGTTTCCCATAAAGCTACCAGTTTCTGACCAAAATCATTTTAAATGTCAGGCGAAGGCTGCCATGTTATAAAATTGGCTACACTTCATCTTTTTAAAAAAGCTCATCATGTCTAAATATGACAAAGAAAGCACTAGATTATTTAAGGAGCTGACCCCAAACCACTACTTTGAAGCAAAAATCTCACATTACTTCAAAACGTAAGTTAAATGACCCAGGTCCCAAGTCTAACTATAAAACTCAGTTTTTAAGCCAAACATAGCTTTTAATAACCTCTATAAAATAAGTTTACACATTACCTGGTAATTGTTTTGGTTTTGTGATAATCTCAATTGATTTGATGATGCAAAATGTGGAGAAAAATTACTCCGTGATGGATTTGTGTTATTGTACATTGTACTAGATGCTGTATGTAATGAGGTCCGTGGTGTCAAATGGTAGTCTCTGTTTTGATACAGTACATTGTCTGACAAATCTCTGATATTCACCATTTGTGAATTTGGCATATTTCTTCCTGTTCCAGACAAAGTTGCACTTTGGTTCTCAGCTCGAAGGAAACTGCCACTTTCATAAAATCTTGAGTAGTTTGGTATCTGTGCTCCCATCGAAGCCAACTCTTCCTCTCTGGAATATTCATCCTCAGCATCTCCAGTCTCCATTGCAATAGACAAACATGTTCCTTCTGCTGAGTTAGATTTCTGTGTGGCCTTTTCTCCCAGAATTTTCTGGGGATAGTCACTGACTGCCAGTGAAAACACTTCACGGATTTCCAGGTTTTGTGTTCTACAGTAAGGGTCTCTAATAGTTGGCTTTTGTCCACATAAGTTATGTGATGCCAGACCTGTATGTTCAGGCTTATATGACCTTTGAGTCCCAGCTGGTTCAATTTTGCAAGGTCGGTGGCACACAGATGGCTTTTGAGGTACTGTCATTTCAGAAGTTTGCACAGAAGAGCTTCCACAGGTTTTCTTTGTATGATTGTATACTGAGTTGCCAGCATTTAGCACACTTGTCTGTCTTGACAAAATAATTGTTTTTTCACCCAGGAGCAGGGAGGCATTTTTACAGTGTGCAACTTGTCTTTGAACAGGAATATGCAACTGAAACTCAGTATCATTTTTACTGGCTGTTTTTTGAATAGGAACTTTATGTGCTTCTGTAATTTGTGTATTTGTATGTTTGGTTGTCCCTTGCCTACTTGATGAACTGGCTGGACTGTATATACCAGTTACAATGACATCATTATTGGCAGATGTCCAAGAAGACTGTTGGCTTGAGGGTCGAGCTATATTAACCACATTTCTGACTGTAATGTCTGGAGCTGCCAAAGCGGTACCAGAAACAGTTCCTGTTGTTCCTCCTGATTCAGAATTCTTACTACTCATTTTTCGTCGCTTATTACCAACCCACGTCTGAAAGGATAAAAAATGGTATTATGAAAAAGTTTAAGAACAGAAAAAATAATTTGTAAGTGATTAATATTATTCTTGTTTATCATAAGATCAAGACCTATGCAAAGGTTAATAAAAAGTTAACAATAAATGAGAAAGTAGCTAAACAGAGCTGATTAAGGACTCGCTGGATAAATATCTAGGAACTTTGAAAACAGACTATATTATTGTTCCTCTCCTCCACAAACCTATCCAATTAATATATATCAAGAATTCTAAAAATGCTTATACCTTTTGACCTAATAAATACATTTCTAGGACTTTATTATAAAATGTAATAACAGATGTAGGCAAATTTTATATGTAAACATATAAATATGTGTTCATCATATATTTACATATAATAGTAAAATATTGGGAGCATACTTTAATGTCAATAGAAAATGCTTTTTTTAAAACATATATACATTTGCAATCATCAGGCTTAACAATTTATGTTGCACATATACATAACTTTCTAATGTATACTGATAGCTATTTATAATATTTTTAGAAACATTCATTATTATAAGCCATATTGCAATAAAACTTATTTAAAATGTATCTTTTTTTCTTTTGGTTCATTAGAATGTAATTCTCGGATATTTGCTAAGATCTGCTATTTTCCATTGCCCTAAAAATATGACTGTTCTGGTTTCCTCACACCCTCACTAAAGGTTTTCATTTTTTTTCTTTTATTTTAGTCTTCACTAGTTTTGGAGTTAATAAAAGGTAAATAATTGCTGATTTGAATTGAGTTTCTATGGTTACTATATTACTTTGATAGAATTGCTCATTCATTTCCTTTGCCTACTTTTATATTGGGGTGTTTGTCATTTTGAAGTGATTTGTAAGAACAATTTTCTGCTAAAGATAGTAACACTTTGTCACACATTGCAATTGTATTTGCTTGTCATTAATTTATGATAGTGATTTTCTTCTTTACACTTTTCTCTACTTACCAAGTTTTATACAATGAATATGTATTACTTCCATAAACAGAAAAAACGTATTAATAAAAATAATGCCAGTGGTTGGCACTTAAGATTTGATTATGAAATGCATACTTTTATATAAATAATTTATTATAATTACCTAGTATTATTGCATTGAGTCATGGTTCTTCTTAAAATATGCAATAAGAAACATTAAATTCCTTAATGTGATTATCAGACTCTGTAATTATTTCATAATGCATACCATATGATAAACTACCAAAACACATTAATCTCCTAAGAATTAAACAAAATAAATGAATAAATGAAAAAAATAAATGCATTAGTGTTGCAGAAACATGGTGTAGATATATCTGGGTAACTTTCCTATGATGTGCTCCAGAAAACCTCACAAATTATTGAATTTTCAAAGTTTATTTATATAATTTATGATTATATACATAGCATTAATGACACTGCAATGCTATAAATAAAAGCTAATATGTATTGATTCCCTTATGTGTTTTATTTATATATATGTATATATATACACATATATGTGTATTCATATATATGCACACACATACATATATATATATATAGTATATATACACATATATAAATATATTTATATGAAGAAACTGAAGTTCAGAAAAATAAGTAGCCTGTGGAAGGACATCCTGACAACAAGTACTAGAGAAAAGACTCATTCAACATCTACTTAACATCAAAATATAATCCTCTTCCACTATCCCATGTGTAATGAGTGAGTAGAAACTACTAAAAGTTATCTCTGTTGTCTAATTTACTTTTATAATTATTTTTTCCACAAAGAAAATGTTCTATAAAACACAATGATACTTTTTCTTTAACATAAGGTAGTGGAAATTTTAAACTCACTCTGATTTCCTTTCATAAAACAGTAGAAGCAAGAATTAGAAGTCAAAGGTCATATAAGTATAAATGTCACAGAAAACAAGTGAGAAAAACAAAAAGATTTCAAAGTATATACTATACAGAAATATATAAGGAAAAATATCTTTGGAAGATAAAACCCAGAAGGGTTAATTTTAAAAATATCCTAAATCAACTTCAATGACATGGCTTTTCAAGTTAAGAAAAATGTGTGGGAAACATGACAGATTTCTACATAATTTTAACAAAATTATACAAGCATTATATTGAAACATTTCAAAGGGAGAGCACAGTGAACAGATAACATTTGGATTCAAGAACTCTTATATCTTGAGGGCAGCTCTGGCCATCTTTTAAAAAAATCCATAACATAGTATATTCTCATCACACATTAGCTAACTTAGGAAGTTCCAGAATGATCTTAATGCATTGCAAATTTATGGCTTCTATAATTTTGTAGGTTTACACATATAGATGCATATTATATATAGTTACTTATGTGTTTTAGTAAATATTTACATTATGTGCCAATAAAGAAGATAAACTAGAATAATACCATGTACATATGAAACACAGCTATCTATCAAATAGATATCAATCTCACTTTCCAGAAAACAGACAATACAAGATGTAACAAGACCCATGTAATTCACTGATAGCAGAACCCCTAACCTTAGAATCCCCTTTCTCTGAATTTATATGTAATTTGAAAAAACCTGGTATCCTATTTTACAACAAACTAGAAACAACAAAATAGAAAGGGCTTTGGTGGTAGAGGTGGTCAATGGTAGGCACCCTGATATCACTAAATTAGAAATGTTCACTATACATTACTCAGGAGAAAATAAAAAGGAAAACAAAATCAATGTAAGAAATCATTAAATAGCAGTTTGAGCTTCGTTAATAAAGGTGAAAATAATCCCACATACATGAACAAGTTTTGAGCATTATTATTTTATAGCACAGTATAATAATTGATTTCTATAATGAAAATCATTAGTTAAAAAGTAAATGTTCAATTACTCTCCATATTTTTTACTGAAGAAAAGCACAAAACTATACACTTAAATAGTCCCACATAAAATTGTTGACAATAAGGAAAATGCATTGCCTGAGAGTTCCCAAAAATTTATTAAAGTTCACCAAAAGTTATAAGATCCAAAATTGACCAATACTTATTAGATGTAGGTAATTCCTATTGTAAATGCCTCATTGTGAGAATGAAAAAAAAACATGTTACATATATCAATAAAAGGAGAATTTTCAGTGAGGAACTAACAAAGCAACACTACATAGGAAAAAATAAAATTTTAGTCACAATATTTGGTGTTCATAAAATTATCTTAGTTCTCAGAAATTCACATCTATAAATCTCTTTTCCTTTTCCTATGCCTCATTCTTTGTTACCTTTTTTCTTTTCCCCATTATATTTATTTTTGCTTGGATGTTTTCACCTTTTATCTTTATTTTGGAATTAAATTCTTAATACAGTGGAACTTGAGTTCTTTTGAAAGATAAAAATCCTCTATTAAAATAACAAAGACAGATGTCTTCCAAGTTACTACATATAGACCAGGCAACATATGGAAAGAGGAATTTTTTGTTTTTACTGGTGAATTTACTAACAAATCCCTTTTCATTTGAATGGAAAAGTAATCAAAATTGTGTTTGGATTTAGACTGGGAAGTCTGAGTTTATTTACTATTCTTTTTCTCCTGGAATGGAATTAATAAATCTGTTTTACAGAATTCCTTCTACCTTATATAACATTATACTTGTAATCCTACATTTGGAGTATAAATATCTGTATCTCCACAATCAGTATTCAAGGACAATCAAGTAAATCATGAAGGGAATATTGTAATAACAAATTGGAAATACAAAAGATAGCCCACAATGCAGCTGCCTGGGAAAGCTTTTCACTTTAATGTAATGCAAGATAAAGGGGGAAAAAAACAAAATTACTATAGGAAAAAACAGAGATTGTACTTATAAAATGAGATCTCATCAATCTGAAATATTTCTACATTACTTGTTAAAGGAATTAAACATTTTCCTCTGAAGTTTAGTAAAGGTAATTTTAAGCAGTGCATTTAGAGCAATAAATATATTTATAGTTATTACACACATCTGAGAATGATGGATATTTTCCCTTAGAATTGGTGGCATAATTCCCTATTTGAAGGTGAGGATATCCTTCAGTCTTTAAGAAATATTTTCCAAAGAATTCTACTATGTATCAAAAGATTTTTATCTCTAGGGTCTTTGAAGGTAATGGAACAGCAAAATAAACTTAAAAACAGAAGTCCTTTCTCTTCCCCAAATTACCCTATGTATGCCAAAGAAGAGAAAGTAGCTAATCATTGAATCACTAAGGTTTCAAGACAAGAGGATTTGTAGCATGTTTAAACAAACATGAAAGGACCTATGCATTCAATCAAATCCATGACTAGTTCTGTTAGATTTATCTCTTGCTTCCTCTCTATCACATTCTCATTGCTTTTCATGAATGTGTAACAGCTCTGATTTTTTTACAGCTGAACAACTATGGTTGTGATAATTTCCTCCATTGGGATTTCTGTCCCTCACTTGCTAACCATCAAAGTGTGTTCATTTTATTTAGAATGAAAAAGAATAGGTTTTCCTGAAAAGACAAAAATACTAAAGTCATAAATGCCTGAAGAAAAATTCAAACACAAAAACAACAAAAATAGGTACACAGAATTCCCTTGGAAAATGTTTTTTTCACTATCATTTGGGTGTTATGTCTAGATTAATTTGAGGATTAAAGGAAGCATAAGATCAATAAGCAATCTTAAATATATTTATTAGTTAAAAAATGAAATATTTAAAAGGTATGTATATACTACAAATTCATTAAAGTTATTATTGTTATACCAGGGAAATGAAGTTGTTTATAAAGTTAGTGACTTCATGCCCTGAATTGTTTTCTCATATTAAACAAATGTCACTTGAAATAAAAAGCTATAAATTTGAGTGTAAGACCTCAATACTTACCCTGACTACACTGAAGTCCAGCTTAGTTTCCTGTGCACACTGTAATATGAGCTGAAAGCAATTTTTACTTTGATTTGTCATTCCATTTTCATAATAACGCTGTAAAATCCTTTGTTGTTCTACAGTAAATACAGAACGTAGATTCATCTAAAAATAAAAGAAGATACTCTGAAAATTGGAATAAAAATTTGGTATGTGTAACATTTGTACACTTCTTCTTTTTTTTTTTTGATACAATTTCAGTGCTTCCAAGCTGCAAATTTGTTTAAACGAATCAATTGCCAGTAATGGGCGGTAATTTGTGTGCTGAAGGGGGGACAGCTTCTCACTAACATATATATATATATATATATATATATATATATATATATATACTCTCTCTCTCTCTCTCTCTCACACACACACACACACACACACACACACACACACACACACATTGAATTTGTTCATAAAAAGCACAAGCTTTAAAGACAAAAAAAAAAGAAAAGAAAAAAAGGAAAGCCCTTATCTGGCTAGTGTGCATGGGGGAAAAAGGGTTCTTTCACTGAAATAAATATTTATGGATAGTAAAGCCAGAGATGGTGGTAGCCATATGTGGTCAATTATCAACAGGGACACTCACTGTTCTTTGTCAAGGGAGGCATCTGGCATATGTCTTAGAATCAGAAGCTGTACTCTGGAACAAAAGGTTTCTTTTGCTTTTATTTTCCCCTCTTTTTTGGGATAAAGTGGTTCTTTTTATATATTATGACAAAAGCTCTTCTTAAAGCTTAAAAATAAATTGCAAATTTTAGTGACTGTGAAAGTTTGGACACTTTAGGCAACACTAACCAAAATAATTATTTTATAACTATAATATGCAAATAAAAACCCAAATTCATGTACATTTTAGTAAAAATAAACCATATAACAGTAATATTTAAATAACTGACACCCCTGAAACTAGACAAGTAAAAAAATAGGAGAAATAAAATAAAATAGAAAACTTTATTTGTTCTTCCAGTAGAGAAGTATTTAATATCAATGGCAAAGAATTGTGAATCTTATAAATAAAAAGCAAGTCAAACTTCATTTTTTCTTAATTATGGTACTTCCTTTCTATAAAGAATACTTGCAATTTGATTAAAAGAATTTACCTCCTTGGGAAAAGCAATCATACTGAAATTGGTATTCCTAAAAGTTGGTAGAAAGAAATCTTTGCTCAAGGAAAGTGGTTTTTTTTTTTTTTTTTAATTAGGAAAACAGCAACAATACAAACATGTTAAGATCAACCAAACAGCTTTTTTTTGTTTCTAGTATACTACATAAGGATACAACAAAATACCCTGACATGGAAATAAAAATTACTTCCCTTCTTCTTAATATTTTGAACAGTGAAGCCATCTAATAAGGAAATTATAGATTCATACAGCAATACATTGCAATTTACACCCCTGACTTTTTTTCTTTCTCCAACAGGTACTTCCCTAACAAAAGTTAAAAGATCTGATTAGAGAAAAATATTATGTAATAGAGGGCACAGGAATGAGTTAGGGTTTCTTTCTGAAACATTTGGAAACAGCAAGGCCTCCACTAATTTTCTGAAGACACAGAATAGTTACATTACTCCAAAAATTTCCCTTGTATGGCCTCTTTGTAATAGATCTCTCCAGTCATCCCAGCTCTTAGCAACCAATGATCTATTCCTACAATTTTGACTTTTCGATAATACCATATGAATGTGATCTTAAAGTATATAGTCACCTGAGCATAAATTCTTTCACTCAGCATAGTGACCTGAGATTATCTGTGTTGTTTGGTGTTATCAGCAGTTTGCTCCCTTTCATTGCTCCCTTTCATTGTATTTTTTTAAATATTTATTTCTTAGATTTAGGTGCGTGTTTCATTATATAAATGTACCTGAATCCATTAAACCAAGGAAGGACATCTGGGCACTTTCAAGTACTTGGAAACTATGGATAAATCTGTTAGGAACATTTGCATAAAGTTTCATGTGTCTAGGTAAGCAGTCATTTTCTTGAGTAAATACCTAGGAGTGGCATCACTGAGTCATATGCTAACTACATGTTTTAATTGATAAGATGATGAACTGTTTTTATTTTTATTTTTAAAAATATTTTTAGTTATATATGGACACAATACCTTTATTTTATTTTCTGGATATAAAATTTTTATCAGAAATATAATAAGAAAATATTTCTTCCTTCTATGGTTTGTATTTTATTTTATTTACAATGTATTTCACAGAGTTTTTACTTTTTATAAAGCACATTTACTTTTATTTTCTTTTAATAGATTGTGCTTTTTTAATGCATTTTGTTCAAATTTGACTATTTTCCAACAGTTTTATTCCCATACGAAATATGGGATATTTTTTGCAATGCCTGCAAAAAATCCGGCTAGGATTATATTAGAGATTGTATTTACTGCATTGAATATAGATCGGGTTAGGAAGAATGGGCATCTTAACAATCTTAGTTCTTCTGATTCCTTAACATATCTAATTGTTTAGATCATTGAGTTTTCACCAGATATTTATAGTTTTCAACACAGAGACGGATCCAACACATTCTGTTAAATTTAGGGACCTATGTATTTTTTGTTTGTTTGTTTGTTTGCAGGGTGCTATTTTAAATGGTATTTTTAAAAGATCACCAATTGTTCATTCCTAGTTTATCAACATATAATTCATTTGGATATATTGATTAATGTTCTGAAACTTTGCAGACTCACATATTGGTTCCAGGAGCTTTTGGTTTGGTTCTTTGGTATTTTCTACACAATCAGGATGTACACAAATAGAGATAGTCTTATTTCTTCTTTTCTCGTATCCATGCATTTTTTCCCCCTGTATGGTGCTTCACAGCACTAGCTAGGATCTACAGCTTCTTGTTTTAATAAGAGTGACATTCTTGCCTTGTTCTTGATTTTTAGAGGGAGGGATCAATTTTTTCACTATTAGGTGTGATGTTAGCTATAGGTTTTTCAGAGTTGCCCTTTACCAGGTTAAGTTCCCTTTTATTTTTATTAAACCAAGAGTTTTTATTATTACTAGAGTTATCCTTACCATGAGTGGATGGTAAATTTTGTCAAATTATTTTCCTTAATCTATAGTGATTATTGTATAATTTCTGTTCTTTAATATTTTGATGTGATAATATATGCTAATTGATATTCAAATAGTGAAGCAACCTTTCATTCCTCCTCCTATTCCTGGAATAAACTTTACTTACTGTTAATGAATTTTATTTTTATACATCACTTGAGTTGATTTGTAAATAGTTTGTTCAGGATTTTTTGATGTGTGGTACTGGGGATTAAATCCAGGGACATTTTATCAGTGAGCTACATACCCAACTCCTTAAAAAAAAAAAATATATATATATATATATATATATATATATATATATATATATATATATATATATTTAGTTGTAGTTGGATGCAATACCTTTGCTTTATTTTATTTATATTTATGTGGTGCTGAGGATTGAACCCAGGCCCTCACATGTGTTAGGCAAGCGTTCTACCACTGAGCCACAACCCCAGCGCCCCCAAGTCCTTTTTAAAAATTTTATTGGGACAGGGTCTAACTTGGCAAGGCTGCCCTCAAATACATAATCCTACTGCCATAGCCCTCTGAGTTGTTATGATTACAGGTGTGTGCCACCTTGCCCAACTTCTTCACAATTTTTAAAACTATATTTGTGAGGGATATTTTCCTATCATTTTCTTTTTTTCTTGTACTGTATTTGGAACTAGAGTAATGAGTAGATTTCCTAATTATATATCCTAGAGAATATAATATAGACTTGCTACTTTTTTTCTTCAAATCTTTGTTATAAATCCCCAATGAAGTCATCTGAACATAAAGTTTTCTTTGCTGGAAAGTTTTAAATTACAAATCACTTCTGTATTATTCAAATTATTTCATATTGAGTGAGTTTTAATAGTTTGTATCTTTCAAGGAATTGACCCATTTCATATGAATTGCTGAATTTAAAGCTGTGAAGTTGCATATTAAACTTACTTATTATTTTTAAATGTCTGCAGGGTCTGTGATGATGTACCTGTTTCCTTCTTCATACTTTTAATTTGTTTCTTCTTATTTGTCAGCTTAGCAAGAAGTTTATGACCTACATTGATCTTCTGAAACATCTAGCTTTTAGCATCAATGATTTTTTTTATATTTTTTGTCTGTCGTCATTTTCATTGATTTCTCACTTATGTTTAATTCCCTTCACTCTGCTTTGATTGGATTGAATTTACTTTTCTTTTTCTATTTTCTTAAGATGGAAGCTTATATTGCTGATCTGAGTCCTTTCTTCTTTATCAAATATAAGCAATAACTCATACAACTTTATTTCTAAGTACTGTTTTGACTGTCTTCTACAAATTTTGATAGAGTGTATTTTAATTGTCTTCCAGTTCAAAATATATTCTAACGCCCCTTGCTTGTTTCTTAATGAAAACTTTGAGGAATTTTCTAAGTATTTTTCTGTTACTGATTTTTAGTTTAGTTTGGCTGATTAGAGCATGTACTTTGTATGATTAAAACATTTTAAATTATTAAAAGTTCATTTTATAGCCCAGAATGTGTGTATGTGTAATTCTTTCTTTTTCTTTCTTTCATTCTTCTTTTTTTTTTTTTTTTGGTGAATGTTCAGAAAGGAATGTGTACTCTACTGCTGTTGGGTGCACAGTTCAAAAACGTCAATTATGTCTTCTTGAATTAGGGTTGTTCAGATTGCCTATATCCTTACTGATTTTCTGACTATATGTTCTATTAATTATTGAAAGAGGAATGGTTGTCTATTGGTAGATTTGCCTATTTCTATTTTCATTTCTATCAGTTTTTGCCAATATATTTTGAAGACCGGTTGTTAGGCACATACACATTTAGAATTGTTATATCCTTTTGGTTATTTAACTATTTTTCTTTAATCATTAATAATACCCCCTCTTTATTCATAGTACTATTCCTTGTTTTCCATTTGACTTTATCAGATTTTATGTGTGTGTGTATACACACACACACCCACTCCAACTTTGTTCTGATTGTTTCACTTATAATATTTTCAATGCTCTTAATTTCAACCTAAGTCTTTATATTGCATACAATTGATTTTTAAAAAATCCAGCATGAT